CGGACCCCGCCGGCCTCGCGAGCTTCCGTCGTGCGTGCGCACCCGATTCGCGCCGCCAGAGCCGGCCATCTGCGCGACCCAGCGCCGGTCGCCCGCGCCACCCGGCGCGCCGGCAGGCCGCCACCGCACGGCACTGCGCATCGCCCGTGCCTCCCCAGGCCCGTGGCCTCGCGCGCCTCTCCACGCCTGCGCCTCGCGCGGCCGTCCGCGTAGCCCGCCCGCGCCCCTAGCCCTGCCGTCCCCGCCCCTGGGCGCGTCGCCCGTGAGCTCGGGAGAGAGGTTTGAGGAAGCTCAGGGGAGAGAGGAGGAAGATGAAAATGACAGGTGGCCCCCCACATATGGGTACGGGTTAGACCTGTTTGGACCACCATGATGACCGTTTTGAGAATTTGGGGACCCACAGCCTGTTCGTTTGGCATAGGTTTAAATATATAAACCAAAAACGTAATTTTTCAGTTTGGTTGGAAATCGATATTTTTCTTTGGTTGGAAATCGTGAGATTGAATGTTTTTTCTAATTAGTCTATGATTAATGAATATCAACCAACCGAACATGCTGCTTGACACAACGCGCTAATGATGTTTTAATTAGAATGGCAATAAATTTAACTCTTTAGTACTACCTCGTTTTCGTTTTATGTCATTAGTTTTTTACTTAATTTCCGATCATATGTTTTTTTTATCCTCAAAACATTTTTAGATACATCAAGTTTTTTCATATATGATTCTTTATTGAACATACTTTATTAGTGTTATATACATTGAGGTATATAAACGATATATTTTGTTTAAGGATAGTCAAATTTGCTTGACTCTTGAAAAATTCCTTCAACTAACCTTATGTTTAGATTGCAAAAAATTGCAATCTCGATTTGATACTATAGCGTTTTCGTTTTATTTGATAATATTGTTGTCAATTTGTGGTCCAACTAAGCTTAAAAAGATTTGTCTCGTGATTTCCAATCAAACTAAGCAATTAGTTATTTTTTTATCTACATTTTATACTTTATATATGTGTTTAAAAATTGATGTGATGGAGAGAGAGTGAAAAAACTTGGAATTTTGATGTAAACTAAACAAGGCCTAAACAAAAAAGAGAAGTATTTCTTCCGCCTTCGCATGCGCTCGTGCTTCTGCCATCTTTCAGTGTGCAACTTGGGTTCATCGTTCGAGGATTATTTTTTGTTGCGCTCAAAAACATGGGCAAGAATCTGCGGTGTTGTCTTGTGCATCGGGTAGGGTAGTGAGGTAGCATCAGCTCCAGACGAGCTGTCTGATTGCTTCGCGTTCCGTGTTCGAGAGGGGCCCAGACCAGATGAATCGTCGCTTTCCCTTGTGCTAGTTCTTCACTGTTTGTACTTGTGGAGTTGTCACTTTCCTGCCTCGGATGTATCGCCGGATGGAATGCCTCGTTTCTTGCATTGGTTCCCAAACTGTTTCAGGTGATCTGTGGAATCTGATGGCAGTACTGGTCTGGTGTTTGTGTTTTTCTTTGTAGGATGATACTCCCTCCGTCCCGTTAAGATGCCAAGAGGGAAGGGGGATTGAAGGTGCATCATTCAGCGGTACAGATCGCAGCTGGAGCAGGAAGTGAGTGTGCATTGCTAGTGCCAAGAGGGAAGGGGCACGAAGGTGCATCATGCAGCGGTACAGATCGCAGCTCGAGCAGGAAGTGAGTGTGTTTTCCTTGGTTTATGAACTCTACAATTTTGAATTTTGTAGCATGATGTTTTCAGTTGAAAGAATTCAGCTTTGTTTGGAGTCGTGATGGGCTCTGTTCCTTTCAAATGGAAGCTGGCTGATATTGGCCGTGGGCATATCCAGTGGCCAGTGCTTCATTGAAAATTGCTGATGAGAGTGGCCCTCTGATGAAATCCATTCTCTAAAATTTGTTATCTGAATATACAAAGTTCGTTAAAAGAATGTGCATTTTTTTATTCATGCCTTCCCATGCACCTTTAACTTCATCAGTAATAGCATCAAGCTTGAACAGCTTCTATGACAAGAGAATATTTTTTGCAAGTTCAAAAGAATAAAAGGCAGATATTCCCAGATGTGACTGTGTACTAAGTGTAATACTCTAATCTTGACATACCTGTACAGGTTAAGAAATTGCAAAGGCAACTTCAAGAAGAGATTGATTTGCATCTGGCGTTGGCAGATGCCATTACATATAATGCGGCGCTGATACTTAAGTCGCCTATAAAGCTTCCAGACAAGGTGCACACTTTTTATTAGATATTAATGTATTCATTTGTTTGTGACACTCGTCATGGACCCAGCAATCTTATGATATCCTATCTGTTTTAAAGGCTCACGAGCTATTAATTAGCATATCCTCTTTGGAAATCGCTATCACAAAGCTTGAGGAGGATCTAAATCACCTGCATTATCAGTTATGTCATGCAAGGAATGAAAGGCTACTTGCAGAAAATAAGCCAGGATGCTTGCTACCTACAGCATCAGATTGCCAAGCCTCCACAATTTGCGATTCTACAGGGGAAGAAGTAAGTTATCTTCAAAGTTTAAATCTCTTTTTAGAATTACATCTTTTAACTGTGAAATTAGTGACTGTTTCTTTGTCAATTTTCTAAGCCCGAACAAATGTTAAGAGAATTGAGATTCAAAGATTATCAATGCAAAGAAGATTTTTCAACTGAACCTGAAGATCAACAGGATGATGAAAAAGACGCTGAAGATGGAGAACGGGTATCTCTAAACATGCTGCTAGAAAAGCACCAAGATGTTTCTTTAACTGGACTGTTGGAACACCAAGATGAAGAGGTCCTACTCTCCACTGCATTCATATTTCTCAGTTTTACATACACATCTTGGGACCTATGAATTATTAAGTTTTCAGTTAAGAAAAATATAATTGTATCCCTGCAGATGCAAGAGGCATGCTCTACCGAAAAAGAAGGCAAAGAAGATCAGAAGATAGATGCGTTACCATTTAGACAGCCAAATTTGAAGAAAAGCAACATGACTGGAAATTTGTGGAATAATCCAAATCAGCTCTCTGAAGAGATGGTGCACTCCATGAAAGATATCTTCCTTCATTTATCTACATCTTCCAAGATATCACCAGAGGAGCCTTTTGCTAATTCATCTTCATCAGCAGAACGTTTGTCTGGTTCAACATTGACTACTTTGTCAGATTCATCTATAATAGCCTCAGTGCTGCGCAGTCCTTCAATTGACTTGAACCATGATGATGGTATTATTGATGATGTTAGAAACTTTGATCCATACAATGTTAATGGGAAGGAAACACGGAGAGACATTGGAAGCTATTGTTCAGTAGCTGAAGTGTCTTGGATGTATATTGGCAATGAACAACTTGAATATGCATCTAGAGCTCTGAAAAAGTTCAGGTTTCCAGTTAAACAGTTGCCTTCAGTTATTGATTATAATTAACACATTGAATGCTGAAAATTTTACAACTAAGAGGTAGCAACTATTCCTCCCTTTCTCCTTTTGCAGATTTCTTGTGGAGCACCTATCAAAGGTTGACCCTTCTTGTATGAACTGTGATGAACGGTTAGCATTTTGGATTAACCTGTACAATGCATTAATAATGCATGTAAGTATGATCTATCACCTTTTTTAAGAATGTCACTAAGTTACATGTTTAGAGATAGAAGTTGATGTTTTCTTTCATTCATTATTGTCAAAATAGTACGCACCCTGAACACCGTGCATGTTTACTTGAACTTTACTAGGCTTATTTGGCATACGGTGTCCCTGAAAATGACATTAAGCTTTTCGCACTAATGCAAAAGGTTTGATTAAATGTCTCTTTGGTTTATAACTTTCTCTGAATTTCCAATATATAGTAATTTGACAAGCTAGAGATAATATCGCAGGCCTGTTACACGATCGGCGGGCAGCCTGTCAGTGCAGCTGAAATAGAGTTTTTGATTCTGAAGATGAAGACTCCAGTGCACCGGCCACAACTCGTAGAACTCTGTTCCTCAGTTTCAGGTTCCTTTATTCATCATACAAGTTAAAAATGCATCTTACTATTTTCCTCCTTTACAGTCCTTGATGCTGGCCCTTCACAAATTTAAAACATCAGAGAATCTCAAGAAATATTCAATCGATGATACTGAGCCCCGTGCGCTCTTTGCACTCTGTTGTGGGATGTTCTCTTCTCCTGCGGTAAGTGAACGAGTAATAATGGAACTCTGTTAACAAGAAATTCTGTTTCCAGTGTGCACAGTAAAGGTGCCAGAATACTTAAACCGAGTTCTTCCCTATTCATGTTTTGGGAATGGTAACTTCCTATCACCCAGGTAAGGATTTTCTCTGCTGAAAATGTTCGAGCCGAACTTCAAGAATCAATGAGAGACTACATCCGAGCATCAGTTGGTATCAATGACAAGGGAGAGCTTATAGTCCCCAAGTTACTGCAGAGCTATGCCAAGGGCATTGTGGAGGACTCTCTGCTCGCCGACTGGATCTGCCGTCATCTAACCCTAGATCAAGTCGCTGCAATCCAAGATACGTCATCGTCGCATAAGCAGCGCCTTCTTGGAGTGTGCAGTTTCAGCGTCATCCCATTCGATTCAAGATTCCGGTACCTATTCTTGTCCGACAACAGTAGGTGCCAGAACTGAAACAAACTGCATTGCTCTATGTGCAGAGCCACAAGAGTGAGCGTTTGACATAGTAAAAAATGGAAAACAAAAAAAAGTTATCTGTGCTGTACATTTTGTAAATTTTGAGGGTAACTAGGATTCTTCTCTGTATGTAAAATTCAGTTAACTTTTGTACATCGAGCAAACTCAAAATATAACTGTAGATTCGCAGATGGTTCAGTTTCAGGTTAGTGGCTTAATTACTGCCAAGTAACCCAAAATTATCCTGCAAATTCACAGCCAGTAAACCTGCATGTACATCCAGCAAAGTGAACTATGGCTGCGACTGAACTTTACAAGGCGATTGCTCAACCGAGCGAGCATTCATTTCTGAATAGGTTCGATGTCAATGAGGAGGCCCTCAAACGGGTACGGCAGCGGGAATCTGGAGAACGCGGTCGCAGCCGGCGGCGAGCTTCCACCTGAATCGCGTCACGATGTAGTGCACGGCCACCAGCGTCTCGACCCTGGCGAACTCGTTCCCGGGGCAGACGCGTGCGCCGCCGCCGAAGGGCACGAAGGCGAAGGGCGGCACCGCCGACGGGTTCTCAAACCGAGCCGGGTCGAACCTGCCGGGCTCCGGAAAGATGGCCGGGTCCCACTGCGTCATGTTGGCCGCGTGGATCACCTGCCAGTCCTTGGGTATCAGGTAGCCGCCGTACTCGACGTCGTCCACCGTTTTCCTCATCATGGTGAACACCGGAGGCACCATCCGCAGCGTCTCCAGCGCCGCCGCCCAGGTGTACCGCATCCTGCCGAGGTCCTCCCACGACAGAGCCTCCCCAGCCGCCTTGCTCCGCGCGATCTCTTCTTGCTCTAATCGAATTCATTCCAGCGTCCATGGATTAGAACAACCATCAGCGTCAGCGTGTATGCTAGAGCTAGCTATGATGAAGGTAAATTACCTTGGACAACTTTGTCGTAGGCGTCCTTGTCGGCATCGAGCTGCCGGATGAGGAAGGCGAGGAGGGCGGCGGTGGTGTCGTGCGCGGCGACCATGAGAAACATGACGTTGTCGATGATCTCCTCGTCGGGCAGGCCCTCCGCAAGCATGAGGTTGACAACGTCGCTGGCCGGCGAGCTCTCCCCGCGCTCCAGCTTGGACCTCCTCTCCTGGATGACCCCGGCGACGGCACGCCGCCCACGCTGGCTCGCAGCGAGGCACCGGCTGTATGTGGAGAAGGGCAGGCTCACCGGGACCGCCCAGATGCCCCTCACCAGCTCCTGGAACTCCGTCCAGAGCTCCCGGCGGACGGCGCCCGTCCCGAGGCCGAAGATGGCCGTGCACATGACGTCGAAGGTGAGCGACTTCATAGACGGCATCACGGCCACGGTGCCCCGGCCGCGCCACTCGGCGTCGAGGTGGCGCCGGACCTCGCCGTCCATGCTGGCGACGTGCCTCTTGACGGCGTCCACCCTGAGGAACTGCACCATCATGGCCCTGACGCGGCGGTGCTCGTCGCCGACCACGTCCCTGATCGTCCGGCGGCCCACCATCCGGGCGAAGGACTCGGGGGTCTTGGCGGTCACCCCGGCGCTGGTGAAGATGAACTTGTTGGCGGAGGTGCCGACAAGGAAGGCCGTCGGACAGCCAAAGAGGCGCAACCGCGACACGGGCCCGTACAACTTTGCCGGAGCCAGTCGTCGGCGGTGTTGGCCCGAGAGGGCTGGACCAGGCTCAGCGTCTGCCCGATGAAAGGCAGACCGAATGAGCCCGGAGGTAGGGGTGCTTTCGGATTCGTCTTCTTGCCGCCGGCGCTGGCAGAGAGGATACGGAGCAGTACGGGGACCGATGCTACAACCGCAAGGACGACGGCAACTGCAGCCGCCAATGTCGCCGGAGCAGCATCCATTGCTTCCGATCAAGAGCTTGCACTTTGCAGTAGTACTTCCTAGTTAGGTTCTACTCCACATTTCTTTCGAGGTGATGCCTTGTGGTCAGGCCCGGTCCTGTCAATTTACAGACACGGAGCGATTTTTACTTTTATTTAATAAACTCACTTTCATGCGTACGTGTATATAATTATCTTCACATGTAACTTATATTTATATACAGATTCCAGATGTCAGAGCTTCAAAGAATACAAGACACCAGTGTTGGCTTCATTGATCCTTATATCGTATTCAAAACCGGTATTATTGTCGAGGAGCGATGGGTATCTGAAGCACAAGAGAATATCATGATGTTCTTCGCACCGACAAGACAACAATACTTTTCTCGTGGAGTAAGTGTTAATAATAATGTAGTCTACATATTTTATGTAATATCAATACAACTTATATGCCGTGTGTGTAAACCAATGCAGTTTTTTATTTGATACTCATTGTTATTGAGTTAAACTCAAGTCGGTTACTAATCTTTGACTCGTTGAAAAAGAACGGGCACTATACCAAAATATGATAGACATTATCCGGGGTAATTTCGATCTCTCGCGCCCGTCCCGAGACTTTGCCGAATTTATTAACGATGGCATTATTGGTCGTTTGGAAAGAGTTTATTCGAACATCGAAGGATTGCAAGGCACCACTTAATGTAGTTAAAATACCAACGGTGTACTATATACACTTCTTCACGTGTTTAATTACTATATCGTACTTCAATTTACGTGTGAGATGATGAGAATAATCTTCTTCTCGCGTCGGTGTGGCGCCGGTGTGGATACTCGCCGTTTATCATCATGCTGGATGTCCTCAGACGTGCCAATTTTTATTTATTTTAAATGAATATATATACATATATGTGTATTAATACTTTTCATTTCAAATGCAAGACCTGAATGGTTGAAACGAAGGGTCATGCAAAAAGACCATCATGGCAGCCTCAAGAGTCAATAGCGGATATCTTCTAGAAAAAGTGCTAAATCCCAACGGCGAGTTCTACTTTGATCCTAAGGAATAAATGATGTAAATTAAATGTTTATTGATATCGTTATTTTTCGAGAACAAGATTATGAAAGTGTTGTATATATATATATATATATATATATATATATATATATATATATATATATATATATATATATATATAGTTTCATACTTTATTCGATATAATAATGCTCAAGATGAGAATTAGATGTAATTATACGCATGCGTGTATTTATATTAGCAAATAGAGAATACGTACATAAAAACATATTATATATTAAACAAATACGGTAATCGAACTGAAAACAAATTAAAAAAAGAAAAGAAGGAACTTTTCACCCCGGGGTTACCAACCAGACTAAAGGTGCGCCAGTTTGCTTTCGACAGAGGGCCTTTAGTCCGTCCCGGGACCACCTTTAGTCCAAATCGTTGTCCCGCCGCGACTAAAAGGTCACCGCTTGGGACAACAAGTCCATTCTCGTAGTAGGGAAGCTACGATAGGCCCTCTAATGTAACTCTAATAATACATGGCGTTTCTAATAAATGTAATACATACTAATTATTCTTATGAAACTAGCTATACATCTTATCTTACCTTAAAATTTTCTTCTAACATTTACTGCTGCGAAGTCATTGATGATGGCCTCAATATCAATTTCATCTACATCAACTATTGCCCACTCATCTGGATTTCTTGTAGTGCTTGTATTACTCTTAAAATATTTATCAATAGATCTTTTTTGTGATTCTATCAAGCCGCCGGCGCATGCTTTTTGGGCAACATGAGTTCAAAAAGTAGTAAGTAATTAAAAATATGTCATACTAAATTCAACATGGTTGCTGCACCATATGTGATTCCTAAATCCCAAATCTAGGGACAAGAGCAAATATTGATTAGGGGGGCTTGGCCGCTTAGGGCTAGCTTAATTCGACCAATGTCGCCACGAAGAGCAGACGGAAGTGGATGCCATTGATCACCAAGACGCATGGGATCAAGAGCGGCGAGTCGCTTTGCAGTAGTACTTCCTCAAGATGCCTGTTAGGTTCCTACTACTTCCACATTTGGGGTTTCCCTGAGGGCCCAGTGATGACCCCCCAGGCCCGTGCTTGTGGTTGGAAGGTGGATGCCATTGGAGTAGGGACAAGATGATTAGTCATTAGTCAGCATATGATGACAACATAATGATAAACAAGAAAACAAGACGATGAAAAAGACAGATAGGATAGGGAATGGTATATTGGTAATCTCTATATAGGCATAGCCCGCTAGAAAAACAACTTAATGCTCCTTTTCACTAGGGTGTTGCCTGTTGGGACTTGAACACCAAGATAAATATTTCTCAGTATTATACATTGGTGCCAATTTAAAAAAAAAAAAGAAGTGAAGTTTTCAACGGAACAAATTTTTATCTGTATTCCTGCATTTGCATGAGGCTCCAGAAGAATAGACAGACTAACAGGGGGTTGGGGGAAACTGCCCACATGACTTTGAATTTCACAAACAACTTGTGAGATGGTGTGTCCCTGTCTATGTTATGATGAGTAATTGATAAGATGGTATGAGCCTTTTCGTTGTGTTCAATTGAGATTGACTATGGTGGACTAATCAGAGATGTTGAGTTGATGAGTGTGTTGTGTGGAGGAAATGTATCTCTTGGTTTGTGACGTGTAGGTATTGGATGCGATATGGTGGTTAACGCTGAGTGATTAAGGTCAAGCAAGTTTTCGCGTCGATGATCCAAAGGCAGTGAAGAACGAACAAGGAGGTTTAGGACAGATCAACCAAGGAGTTAGTGCGTAGGCCATAGGCGATCCGCATCATCCTCAACTAAATTTATGGAGACAACATCGACAAAGTCAAGGTGGGCATCAACCATCAAGGTCCACGAAAACATTTAGAGTAGGCATCCTCAACTACTACATGAGTACATGACACTGCTGACATACGTACCCCGTTATGGCCTCATCACTGCAAGAACTCGTTACTGAACTTCCGCCCCAAGTTTGTGTGGGACTCACTTTCTTGTGTTTCCAAAAATATAAGAAAATGCATCTCTTTGACATTTATCCTATATTGAGAAGACTTGGACTGGGACACCGAAGGTGTAATCTCCAATAGATAACAGGATTGGAAATGTTAGTGGCTCTGAGCTCTGACCGTACTTACCCATCGACTTTTTTTAGTTCTCTAATATTCTACTGTAACTTTGTGTGGTTGGCTTTCCTGATTTTTTTTTTTGCAGCGTTATGTAATTTGCGTCATCAACTAGCACAAGTTTTCTTCTTCTCCTTTTCATTGAGATCTTTAGATATATACAACAATCGAACTGCTCCAGTTTCATCAACAAGCATCTCTGCAGCAGGTGAGTTTCATGAGAGAATCATGCAGTCACTAAATTTGCCAAGAAGCAACAGTAGCACCTCCAAATTACATATACCTTTCTTTGGTCTTTCCTTCGTCCTCCTCTCTTGTGCGTCCCTCTCCAGCTCCTGCACAGAGCAAGAGAAGAGCTCCCTCATTGACTTCCGAGATGGGCAACAAGTGATGTGAACTGCACGATGCTGGCAGTAATAAGTGAAGAGTGAACAGATAGATTCAAATGGTTCGGTAGCCAATGCAAGTGATTTTTTTTTCTCACAGGCTCTTGTTCATTCGTCAACAGAGACAACCAGACCTGCAAGTCGTAAACCATCGCTGCTGTGGAACAAGAAAGAAATAATGACCTTGTAGATACAGTATGAATACACACAAAAGTAGCATCAAGAATAAGACCAGTCTTATGTGCATCTTTTTTCCTTTTTTGCGAACCAGACTACTAGTCTAGCACTGTACCACATGTGTTTTGCATGCATGGCTTTTGCACAAAAAAAAATCTTTTGTGTTTATGATTCTGCAATAAGTCGTTGCCCATGGCTTAATGGTCTAGCACTTCTGCAGATCATGTTTAATCTCAAGCATATCATCTACCGATCCGTCAGGATTATCGCAGGAATTATTCCGCTGGCAGCCAAAGCCACATGGAGTGATTAGCAATCCTGTAATCCCCCAGCAAGTCCTACAACTCTAGGCATACAGTATAGATAGAATACTTTGAATTGACAGGAGAAAAAAAATAAGAATAAAAATCTATGCACATCTCACGGCGACCTGGCTTGCCCATCTGACCATGTCCTGTCCCACGTTACCTCCCAATATTTTTGTCCTGATCCATCCATCCGTAGCCCATAGATGCATAGGTCACCTTCCTGAGTCGTACTCATTTGGCCCTATTCGCTTATTTTATAATTCATATTTTTTCACTTGTTTTTTCAGTCGAGAATAGTGTTTTTCTCTCACAACAAATCAGCCGGAACAGTGTTTCAGTTTGTTTTTTCAGCGAAGCGAACGGGGCCAAATGTACCAAAAAGATTGTATTTCTAGAACACTGCTAGGTCAAATTTCATAGATTTATATAAAAAATACTAATAATTATCATAACAAACAAATATTATTAGATTCGTCATTAAATATATTTTCATGGCATACTTACTTGAATTCATATATATTGATACCAATTTTCATAAATTTAGTTAAATTTAAGATAGTTTAAGTTTGATCACATACAAAATTGCATTCTTTTCTAGAGAGATATACTATGCCGTAGGGCCAAGGCAAAGCAGAGACGCATTTCTTTCGCATCACCCGACGCTCCAACGGACCACCAAAGGTAAACGGCCCGGCCGGGCACAGCCGTGGCCACCCACCCCAGCCGGCCCCGGCAGTGCCATTATCCTGACGACCTCCTCCATCCACTTGTTGCTCAATCAGCCACAGACCGCGCACACATTGACCACGACGTTAATGACAGATAGCCTTTCTAAGATTATTATTGATTATATATTTATATATGTGCGATGCGAGATGAGGCTGGAAGATATATATTATCAAGATAAGTGTGTAGTGCTCTTCGATGCACCTGCCACTTCCTCCAGAAGTTCCCATTGGAAATGCGAATCTTCGGCGCCTCATCGGCTGTTGCTTTCGCCTTTTTCCAGTTCTGCAAAATGGATCCGGAAAAAGGGTTTACAACTGTCAGGAGAACACTGAATGAACATGCAAAGAAACTGATCAGTGTCTCTCTTTTTATTTTTGTATGTAAAAAAAATACCCTGAATTTTAACTGTCATAGGTTACAGTTTTCGATGGTCAAGCGATTTCTTCTCAAGGTTTACATGCAGCCATGTAGGAGTAATATTGTAACAATACAATAAATGAAGCAGAAACTTTCATTTGACATTAGGTTGGTGATGAAAAAAAACATGGTTTGGTTTCTTATCAGTTAAGACTTAAGAGTCGCATAAAAGATTCAGAAGATATGCATGAATATATGCAGCAGTAAATTATCTCAGCATGGTGCAATATTCAATACCAACCTGGGCTCCAAAAGAAATATTCTGTGGCAACTTCCAAAGTTTGATGACAACCCTAGAGAAGGATAACAACTAAGGCTTCGTACAGGGAAGTTGGACTTTTGCACGTAGAGTTGTAGCAACCCAAGCAAAACGTCAAACATGTGAACTGGGCAAGAAAAGTATTTCCGATTTTCTTTCCTTCTGGCCCCGCACAGTGCGGGAGCTCTCTGCACTGGTTACGCCCTCTTTAGAGTCTATTGAAGAAGAAAAAAATTGGTGGTGGCAAACGTGTAAGTAACTGACTTGGATGTTTCTGCATTATATACCTTTGCCATTCTTCCTCGGGGAACAAGACGAGGAAAGCTCAACACCACCAGAAAGAGCAAGCAGCTGCTTCTTCTTCCCCCATGCTGTCGTAGCTAGTCAGAGCCCAAAATCCAAATTGAGCGTCTCTGCGAGCTGCAGGACGTTTCATGAGAGAATCATGCCATCGCTGAATTTGCAATGCAGCAGCAGTAGCGCCTCCAAATTACCCGTGCCTTTCTTTGGTACTGCCTTGGTGGTCCTCCTCTCTTGTGCATCCCTCGCCAGCTCCTGTACAGAGCAAGAGAAGAGCTCCCTCATCGACTTCCGAGATGGTCTATCCCAGGAGGGCAATGGCGGCCTCAACATGTCGTGGGCCAACAGCACAGACTGCTGCCAATGGGAAGGAGTAAACTGCGGCAACGGTGGCGTGGTCACAGAAGTCTTGCTGCCTTCTAAAGGCCTCAAAGGGAGGATCCCACCATCACTCAGCAATCTTACAGGGCTGCTGCACCTCAACCTGTCATGCAATTCACTCTACGGCAGTCTGCCAGCAGAATTGGTGTTCTCCAGCAGCATCACTATCCTGGATGTCAGCTTCAACCACCTATCTGGTCCTCTGCAAGAGCATCAATCCCCAATTTCTGGCCTTCCTCTCAAGGTACTGAATATCTCAAGTAACTTCTTTACAGGACAGTTACCATCCACAACACTGCAAGTGATGAACAATCTTGTCGCTCTTAATGCAAGCAACAACAGCTTTACAGGACCATTGCCATCTTCTATTTGTATCAACGCCCCATCACTTGCCATGCTTAACCTTTGCTTAAATGACTTCAGTGGCACTATTTCCCCAGAGTTTGGCAATTGCTCCAAGTTGACAGTACTCAAGGCTGGCCGCAACAACCTTACCGGAGGTCTACCCCATGAAATGTTCAATGCTACCTCATTGGAGCACCTCTCTTTTCCAAACAATAATTTGCAAGGGGCACTTGATGGTTCCAGCCTAGTCAAACTCAGTAATCTGATATTCCTTGACCTTGGATCAAATGGGCTTGAAGGAGAGATGCCAGATTCTATTGGGCAGCTGGGAAGATTGGAGGAGCTCCACTTAGACAACAACCTGATGATCGGAGAGCTGCCATCGGCCCTAAGTAACTGCAGAAGTCTCAAGTATATCACCCTCAGAAACAATAGTTTTGTGGGAGATCTTAGCAGAGTTAACTTCACCCAGATGGATCTGAGGACTGCAGATTTTTCACTGAACAAATTCAGTGGAAGAATTCCTGAAAGCATATATGCATGCAGCAATCTAATTGCTTTGCGATTGGCTTACAACAATTTTCAAGGCCAGTTCTCACCAAGAATAGCCAATCTCAGATCCCTTTCCTTCCTTTCAGTTGCCAATAACTCATTTACAGATATCACAGATGCACTTCAGAATCTCAACAGATGCAAGAACCTTACCTCCTTGCTAATTGGAAGCAACTTCAAAGGTGAAACCATACCACAGAATGCAGCAATTGATGGTTTTCAGAATCTTCGGGTCCTAACCATAGACACATGCCCATTGGTTGGGACAATCCCTCTTTGGTTATCAAAACTCACAAAATTGGAGATATTAGATCTATCATACAATCACCTTACTGGAACAATACCATCCTGGATTAACAGGCTGGAACTCCTCTTCTTTCTGGACATATCAAGCAACAGGCTTACAGGGGATATCCCACCTGAATTGATGGAGATGCCAATGCTACAATCTGACAAGAATGCTGCCAAGTTGGACATGAAGTTCCTTGAGTTACCTGTATTTTGGACACAATCACGTCAATACCGTTTGCTCAATGCTTTCCCCAATGTATTGAATCTATGCAACAATAGCTTGACAGGCATAATTCCCCAAGGGATTGGTCAGTTGAAAGTGCTCAATGTCCTCAACTTTAGCACCAACAGCTTATCTGGAGAAATACCACCACAAATTTGCAACCTCACAAACCTGCAAACGCTAGACTTGTCAAATAACCAGCTCACAGGTGAACTCCCATCCGCATTGCGTAATCTTCACTTCCTTTCTTGGTTCAATGTGTCTAACAACGACCTAGAAGGGCCAGTTCCAAGTGGAGGACAGTTTAATACCTTTACAAATTCTAGCTACATTGGAAATTCCAAGCTATGTGGTCCTATGCTCAGCGTCCATTGTGGCTCATTAGAAGCACCTTCAGCCTCAATGAAAAGGAGGCACAAGACCCTCTTGGCAGTTGTTTTCGGTGTCATTTTTGGTGGACTTGCTGCTCTTTCATTGCTTGCATGCTTCCTCATAGCACGGTTGGTATATGATGACCACACCGAAAACCTTGTTCCCCTACACAGGCGGTAGCAGTAGTGACTATGTGATGATTTAGACTTCTTTACTTTATTACATCTTGTACTGTTATTCACTTGAACCTTATACTTCCATGTACAAATTATTGAACCCTTTCTAGAGCTTTTCTGAAATGGTTGGCAGGAGATCTCCCGAACTTTTTAGAACCCTTTTTAGAACTAGCGCTGTTTAAACATTGTAGTGACATTTGCACCATTGTCACCAGATTGGATATGTTTCTTTAAAGGAGATTAACTCTGCTTTTAAGAAAGCTAGTAACGCCTTAACGGGGTTTACACGCTGGGGTTACCAGCTACAAATGCAGTACTGACAACAAGGATAACAAAAGATGTCCCACTACATATGAGAAGCCTACACCTCTACGATGTCCGAAATCAGCTTCCTTGCCGTTCCTTTCTTGTGCATCCACCATATTGGATATAATCACCAGAATTAGCATGTATTAAACGTATAATGCAAAAAATGAGGTTATCATACCATCTCTGTGTGCAGTCAGAGTGTGCATTTGGGCTGACCTAACACAATTTTCAGCACTGCTAGATGCTGCACTGCTACTGCTGTAAAGCTAGTACCACAGGGGCGGATTTGCAGCACAGGCCTCTAGGGCCCAGGCCCTAGTCATCGGCCCACTAACACTACATACCCCATGTATTTTTTTCAGCCCAATATCGAAGGCCCAAGAGCAAAGCTAGGGCACTCAGACTAGGCGTCAGGCCTCACCTCTCCTGGAGACCTGGACCGTGGACCTCTGCCGCACGGGAGGAGCCGAGGAGGCGAGTCGCGACTCGGAGCAGGGGCGGACGGCGGACCGAGGAGCTAGCTGCCGGCAGGGGCGCCACCCAGCCGGCCGCCCGCAGGCAGCACTGCAGGTCCGCAGTAACAGCAGGGCGCCGCGCCAGCCGCCCCTGCCCTCGAGCTCCAGGTCACTGGCCAGCGGCCACTGCCGGACGTCGGCCCCTGCCCTCCAGGCTCCAGCAGTCCAGCTCCAGGCGGCCGGCGGCCCCAGCGTCCAGCCCCGTCGACCGGCTGTCCGTCTGTCTGCCCTCCCCCTGCCCGGGCGCCCCCTGGTAGGCCTGATCAGAGGCATCGGAGAGAGTTACATGCACTAGAGGCATCGGAGAGAGTTAAATGTACCAGAGATTAACTCACGTTTCGGTCGGATCCATTAACTTTTAAAGTGGTTTTTTTTTTCTATAAACTTTGTATGCGCCGCGCCTCAGCCGCCCCTGCCCTCGAGCTCCAGGTCACTGGCCAGTGGCCACTGCCGGACGTCGGCCCCTGCCCTCCAGGCTCCAGCAGTCCAGCTCCAGGCGGCCAGCGGCCCCAGCGTCCAGCCCCGTCGACCGGCTGTCCGTCTGTCTGCCCTGCCCCTGCCCCTGCCCGGCCGCCCCCTGGTAGGCCTGATTAGAGGTATTGGACAATATTGCCGAGGATGGCATTGGAGATAAGATAACAACAGCTTCAGATTTGTTAAAATAAATGGAGCGCGCCAAATTTTGTCAAGAGAGCCACGCCAAGTTGATGTGCTTATATTGCATCTCATGGGAGGAATATCAGGGGATGGCATTGGAGATAAGATAACAACAGTTTCAGATTTGTTAAAACAAATGAAGAATTTTGAGTTTGTGCTTATATTGCATCTCATGATCAGATTATTGGGCACAACTAATGATTTATCATAATGCTTGCAAAGAAGGATCAGAACATTGTTCGGGCTGCAAGTTTGATTGGGATCACAATCCATTAGTTTATCGTCTTATTGAGTTGGCCTTGATTTTACAGGTTGCAACTGCCACAGTGGAAATGGCATTCTCAGCTATGATAATTATCAAGACTGACTTGTCAAATAAAATGAGTGATGAATTGTTGAATTATTGGATGGTTTGTTATATTGAGTGAGATGTATTTGCAAGCATACTAGATGACGATATCTTACAACATTTTCAAGAATTGAAGTCTCGTTTGAACAAGTTACCTAGTACAACTCATTATAATGGTATGCTACATTCAGAGCATAAATGTATGTTCAACAATTAATCTTTTTTATGACCATTTCATTTATATTTTGATCTTATTTATATGCAGAGCTTGACGAGGCGATGGAAGATGTGAATGCACCACCGGTAGGTATTTTTTTCATTTTATCATGTGTACCGTATAATCTTCATCTCAAATTACAAGATGTTTGACTTTTTGACACCAAATTTGACCACTCGTCTTATTTAAATTTTTTTGCAAAATATCACTTTTTTTGTCGTGGCTTGCTTTATTAATAAAAGTTCTTAAAAAAAATAACTTAAATTTGACTATATTTGCATAAATTTTTTGAAAAAAAAAATCAAACAACGAGGGAATTATTAGCTTCTTGGAGGCCCTAGTCTTGAGTAAAAGTTGGCTCCGCCACTCAGTACCACATAACCTAGTTAGCAATGTACAGAACTACATCTACCTACACAGATTTGGACTCTTAAGGAGCTAAATGCCAAGGGTAGTCTTCCTACAGTTGAATCCGCCACAGATTTCCCCCAAAAAATCAAGCAATAACAGGGATTCAAAAGGCACAGTAGGATTTTGAAAAAAAAAATAAAACTCCAAATTTTACCACGCAGACTTTGACGTTGCGCACGCTGCCCGCAGCCGCATCGGCAGCCGGAGCAGCGACCGCCCAGCCGCCCATCGAGTGTCGCCTGAGGGCCTGATGGGGAAACAGCCGCTCCGCTTCACTCCATTCCGCGCGGCCACGCCTCTCCCGCACCGCGGTGGCACTAGATCGACGGCGTGGCCGCGTGGCCTAGGTCCGGCTGGCGGGCCGAGTGGAGCCGGTACGCTTGCCGTCCATCTCCGTCCCCTTGACCGGCGGACGCTGCCCGCTGCCGCCGCTCCGGGCCTGTGGCGAGCTCTGGTTTGGACCGGGCCCTTTGTTGCTGGCATGCTGTCATATGTGGAACAACAAAGATTGGCCGCCCGATTCGGATCCGATGCGGTATATTGATCGAACGTTGTGGCCCGCTTGGTCAGAGACTCAGAGTACAGCAGCCCCTTCTTCGAAATTCAGAATTTTGAGTTCATAGGATATGATGTATAAAGTCTAAAAATGTGTATCTAATCTCAAGTAGTAATAACAGATTTTTCAAGTAAGTATCTTTAGAGTGTGTTCGACAGAGATACGGTATCTGGCAGAAACGTTTCTAGAGTGAAAATAACTTTGGTTTCTGATGGAACCAGAAAAAAGTTTAATCTTCTGTTTGAATTTTATAGAAAAAATGGCAGGGTTCTCGTGTTTCAAAAAATAATGATGAGCTTAAAAAATCTCTCCGTGCATTTAAAAGTTTGAAGTTGGCCTTAAAATCGGGTCCAAAGTAGCAATATAGTGATACTTCAACCAAAACCATAATAGAAAAAATTTCAAGACTCGATATAGGAAAAAAACTCAATAATAGAGGTTCATAATGAAACCTTGAAAAAAGGTCAAAGGAGATAAACTAGATCCAACACAGTGATTGATATATTCAAATCGTTGAGAAGAGAAACATCAACTTAATAAAAAAACAAACAATATAAATTATCCTATTTCTCCCAACCACTGCTAACAGTATATTAATTTGAGCTGTTGACGCTGCCTCCCACTTTACAACAGTAGATGGGCTAGGGATTTTTAGGGTCGGATAAGGCCATGCCTAACGCTACAGCATGGCTTGTAGCCTCAGATTCCAAATAAGCACTACCAGTAGCCTCGCAGGATGTCAGATTACCCTAAGGAGGCATCAAGAGCCTCGTGTGATAGAAACGCCGAGGCACTCACTCAAGCACACGACGTACTCCATTGGACCGAGTGCCAAACCTGCAAAGCTGCTTTTCAGCATAGTAGTAGGAGTGGGGGGACCATGGCCTTGTTCGTTTGTCTTATGAGTCGTACTATTTCAGCGAACGAATAATGTTTTTCTCTCACAATAAATTAGCGAACAATACTTTCAGCTATAGCTTTTCAGCAAAGCGAACATGGCCCATGTCCTTAAGATTCTGCATTCCTCTGCGTTGCAAGCTTGGTAGTCTTGAATCTCTTGTTCTTTCGTGTAGCACAACTTTTGATTGAGGCTAACAAGTTTATTCGTCTACATGGGGGTGCTCTTAGAGGATGTTCATGCTAAGAATGTTACAAAAGCATGGTAGTGTTAAAGTGGGAGGTAAGTTTAGATTACATGCTCAATGGCAGATGGGAGAGACGAGTGCAACTAAAAACTACAGACCCAATAGCCCTTATTATGATCACCGAAATCATGGGATTATGATTGTTGCATCACAAACATAGCTCCATAGCTTCAACCAAGCAATAGAGCAAGATGCAATATGCAGAATTTATGGTGAAACTGCAATCTTTTGACAACGACAAGGAATGCGAAAAAATCCCTTATTTGTGTAGGATGAGGACACATGAATGTACGAAACGGTACAGTAAAATGAGTACACTAGGCTTAAAAATGTAGCTCGAGGTCATAGCGGCCATGAAATGTAGGTGCAAGTGCAAATGTTGATATTATTATAACACCATTCTAGCAACAAAGAAAACTAATAGAATCATTATAGTTCAAGAGCTAAACATGGTGAAAATAAGTTAGAATGGTACTAACTATAGTTAAACCACATGCTGCAAACTCTTTAAAAAAAACACATGCTAAATGCATGACCACCACACTAGTTAGAACTTCATACCTGCGCATTTTTTTTCCAAATTATAAGTCATTTTGTTTTTTCTAGGTATATAGTGTTTACTATGTACCTTGACATATCGTATATCTAGACGTATAAGGAGGTGTTTGGTTCGAGCTACTAAACTTTAGTAGCTACTAAATGGTTTAGTCACTTTTAGTAACTCCAGAGTTATTAGAGAGGACTAAAGTTCTTTTAGTAGCTTTTAGTCATAGTGTTTGGTAAAAAGTTACTAAAGTGACTAAAAGCTACTAAATTTAGTAGCTACTAGGCGAACCAAACATGCC